CTGCATTCCTCTTACTTCTTGAGGAGGTGGGACCTTAAGCAGACCCATCTAGACATCTAGACAGTTGGGCAAGGCCCCATGCTGTGTAGGGCTTTATAGGGGATAACCAAGACCGTGAATTTGGTCAGGAAGTCTACAGGCATCCAGCAGGTGCAATGCTACACCAGCGGCTTTCCCCAGCTAGTTGATGTCTTGCTACATTACGTCCTAATGAAGCTTCCAAGTTACCTTCAAAGGCAGCCCTAAGTGGAATGCATGGCAGTAGTCCACCTGCATAGTGATAAAGGGATGTGTTACTGTCGCCAAGGCCCCCTGATCTCGGTAAGGCAAGTCTGTAATTACTGCATCAAGCAAAGCCATCACCACACACACACCCCAACATGGATGGCAGTGCATAATTAAGTAATATCAGCATTTGTTGATGTTCTTTCCAAACCAATGGAGTTTTTTCCTAGAGGCAGATGTTCAATATTCAATGCAGATGTTCAGTGATGTGGGGAGAGAACCAAGCCCACCATTCTCCACACTGGAGCTACCACAGGCTCAATTGTGCTTCTCCCACAAATGCTAAGTGGAGCCTCTTCATCAGATTGGAGCAGAATCACTGCAAAACAGGGCCTCCTACTGCAACTTCTGCAGGCTGTCCTGAAGATACCACAGTCAATAGTTTCTGAGAGGATCTAGGAGGACCAAGAGGATGACTTCCTCCGACAAAGACAACCAATGCCATTTCCATCCTGGGACCATGCCTGAATCAGATTTGGATGATCTGCTTCTTCCAAGACCTTCGGCAGCTGTGACCTTTGCTAAAAACAGAAGGCTGGAGAAAGACAGAAGTTCTCAAAAATGGCTGGATTGAGAGATGGGTTCTTGATGGAGGCGGACGGCATCTCCCCCTCCCCCAGAGAAGCATGAGCCACTTCCCAATTCCAGCAGCATGCATCCTGCTTGGCCTTATGAAGGAATCAGGAGGGGCAAGGATCTAGTATGAGTATTTTCTATTATTTTCAAGTATGATGCAAAGTTCATGCTTGAAAAATCATGGGGAGTCAAGCCTGACTGACCCTTGGGGAAAAGACCACTAGAAAATGCCCAGGCTGGGGGCTACTCTGGGAATTCCAAAGAACATCCCTGCAAGTCACAGTGGGATGCCACGTCTCTCTTCTTCCTCCCACTGGGTTGAATCCCTAGGCACAGAGAGAAAGGGGGAAAGACAAACCAAAGGTCCTCATAAACATTGTCTACAATGTGAAAGTCACAATTCCATCCCCCCAAAAAAGGTAAATGCAAACGTCTAATTGCATAAATCAATCTTTTCCACAAGGAAATCTGTAAGCCAACTGAAGAGATAATCATTCGCAGTTTAACCCAAAAGCCGGAGGAAGGTTTGCAATTCTTAAAGGAGCTCTGGTGAAAGAAGCATCAGGAGACTTCGGTCGCAAAGCCTGGGCCTTGTGTGCGGCACATCCCTCAGGCTGGACCCAGCAACACTGGCAAAGTCTTTGGGGAAGGCAACTCATTCTTCAAAGATGGTTTTCATTTTTAAAAAGAGAAGTTCTTTGCAGCCTCCCCCAAACCAAGCAAGGATGACACCCGAGTGCCCCTTTTGTATGCGAGCCATTGTGTTCCTCAGCTGACCCAGGGCAAACAAAGCAGTGCTGTTTCTACTGGATTGAGAAGAGGATCGCAAGGTGCCAGGCAGCCAGAGGCTCCAGCAAGGCTCGGGTGATTCACTCAGTGCCCAGCCTCCATTCATGCATCAGCTTTAACCATTGTTCCTTCATTCCCGGACATGTGATAAAGCTGGATTTTGTATCCTTTAGTGCCACCAATCTCTTGGGGGATCCAAATTATCAAGGCAATTCTTTCCTTTTATCACATACTCTTGCATTTTAGCAGATAATCTGAGGCAGGCAGCAAAACCTCAGCTGGTAGCAGAGAGTTTATATCTTCTCTATCTTTTGGCAGGCATTTGCTGCTTGTCCATATTTTTGCAGCCCAGACCTGATAACCAAAATACAACCTCTGATTCAGTTAATTTCAGAACCCCTTCTAGTCTGTTTCACATAGAAAATTACTTAACTTGATTGCATCTGCTTCTCTAAAATGCATAGACACCTAACAAGTAAAAGTGCTTGGACAGCAACATTTAGCTCTGCAGTGCATCAAAACCTCCGTTGCCTGAAAGTTGCATCTAAAAACATTTAGGGAAAGTATGGAGCAGCCTGCGCAAGTAAGGGCCATCAGCTGATACGACACCTGCTTGGACCAGCCTTTATCGAAGGCTTTGCCAGCCTGACTGTCCTGACTGGGTGCAGCTCAACTCTCCAAAGTGCAGCAGTGTGGACAGTGCTCCAAAGCTTAAAATGTGAAAGATAAAACTGGAAAGCAGGCGGGCAGTTCCTATCCAGCTCTGAAACGACAGCATGCCTCCCTTCAATCTGTTTAATTGCCCTCTCCTCCCTATTACGCAGAGGGAGGAGACAAGCCAAAGTGCTAATGCGCTTTGCATTGCTTTATATAGGTAATGTAAGGTACACACAACTGTACCAAGAGCATCATTTTGCAACAGCTGTTAGTTCAGAGATGCCTATTTCCTCCTCCACTCTTACAGCTGCTCCAGGACATTCTTTTCTCTAGTTTGTTTGTAGTTCACAAGATCAAGATTTGACTCCCCCCCCCCAGCATCCTCTAGAAAAAAGTGCAACCTCCTTACTTTATACTGGGACTTAAAACCCTACTGGGTCTCCCTGCCCCCACCCCCGTGCTGCGTCCCCAGCAGACGTGATTTAAGCTTCCTAAAGCTGACCTGAGAGCGATCATTCCCCGCTATTCCGTTTTGTTTTTCTAAGGGAAAAGCCAACCAAGGAGCAATGGGACATGCTGACATTCTTAGGACCAGTTTTAATCATGGTTTCTGGTTTGGGAATCACTGTGCTACTGCAATGTACGTAAAACGTATTTACAAATCCATGCTATGTTCACAGGCAGACAAACAAGCTGTTTGAAACATTTGCATAAAATATGGAGCTATAGCTGAGCCTGTCTGTTAATTTGTCATTTTGCAGCATTAAAGAAAAAAAAAATCTGCAGGAAACCACCCACCAGGTTCATCCAAATGCAAATGAAACTGACCATGTTATTTCAGCAACCAAGATCAAACAGTGCAAAATTAGCATTCCAAACATTTGTACATTAATGCTATTAAATGAATATATATTATTACCATTTAATGTCAATAGGTAGTCCTCGACTTACAACTGGTTGTTTAAAGACAGTTCAAAGTTACAACAGCCTTGGAAAAAGTGATTTACAACCTGTTGTTGAAACCGACTGTCACTCTACCTTCATGATCAATCAGCTCCCATTCCCCCCTCCCCTCCCCCCCTGCAGAGTCCTGCAGTCACATGATCTTGATTTGTAACTTTTCCAGTCTGTTTCCACCCAGCAACATCAGTTGGGGAAGCTGGATTCACTTCTGCAAGATTCACTTAATAACCATGTGATTTGCTTCACAATCACTGAAAAAATGGCCATAACATCAAGTTTGGTTATGTGATCACTCATTTAGGAACCATATTACTTAGGGACCTGTCCCAATTGTGGTCATAAATTGAGTAAGGGACTTTGGACGGTCTCCAAAGCTGAGCAGTGCTAAACTTCCCGAGTGCCTGGATGGGAGACCCCTGCAAAACCCAGAGCTGCAGGCCGGGCGCTGGGACTCTCGAGAGGCTCCCTCCCTGGGCAGGGCAGGAGGAAAGCGCTAGCAAGGTCAGCGGAGGGATGTCCCTGCGAGAGTCCCCAGGCAGCCTCCTCTGGATATCGGTCTGCCTGCTGCTGGGTTGGCCCTTCCTTATGGGGCCAGCTGATCTTGGAGGAACCTGGCATTGGTGAAAGGTCTAAATATCAGTTTTTGTTCCTGGTAGTTTCTCATTTCTCCACATCTGTCAAATTCAGTTTTTCTGAGTTAGTCAGTTTTGTGAATGTATGAACTTTGCTTTGTTGAATTTGAGAAATCTTTTTTTTTTTTAAGTTTCCATTACAAATGACATGTGAGCCCATTTCTCCAAGCATAACAAATGTTGCTGGCAGTTTTACCTAATGTTATCTATTTTTTTCAAATATTTCTGGATGTTAGTTTCATAATTAGGATTGAGTTTGCTCCAATCTGCACTTTTTACAGTATGCAAATTCTGTCGCTGGGTTTAGAAAAGCAGGCATTTTGAACAGGGCCTCAACCGATGCAGAGTCAGTGTGTTTTGCCTCCCAGGGTGAACTGAAACCATCCCCCTCCCTCGCCTGCGTTTCTCCCCCTCCTTGTGCAGAGACCGAGAGCTGGAGGAGGGCGGGGAAGCCACAGGGCGAAGGAGTTCCGGTGTGGGCAGTTGCCACGGAGAGCAGGTGGAGGGGAAGGCTTTGAGTCCAGCGGGAGGACTGTTTTGCGTGGGGGTTCGGGGCGGCAGAGGGCAAGAGAAGGCCTGTGGCAGCAAGGAGGAGAAGCCGTTAGGCAGAGGAAGCCAATGTGTGCCCACGTTGTGAGAGAAGCACAGCCCAACCCAGAGAGGCTGATTCTGCCGCTCCACCGACCCGGCCCGTGGCTGCTGTGGCAGGTTCTGTGGGGGATCACAGCTCTGCTTGGATCCCCAGGCAGCTAAGCCTTCTCCCTTCTCTCCTTCCTCCAGAGAGCCAGACCGGTATCAAGAGGAGGGAGTGGAGGTGAGGCCCCAGGACCCTGAAGGGCCAACCATTGGAGCCCCTCAGAAGAGGCCTGTCTTTTCCATTCTGGATGCTACCAGGTGCGTCTGGTGGGGGGGACCCCAAAGGCTGGGCGGGGCCCTCCTTGGCCTGATCTAGCCTTGGGGTCATCCTTTCAAGTCACCTTGTCTCTCCTCTGGATCGATATTTGGGCTGCAGCCCCTTTCAGAGCTAAGCTCTGCAGATGGTGACAGAGATCTTTACCCCTGCACTTTCCCTCCATCTCTGGGAACAGCCAGGCTTACCTTCTTCCCACTCTCCGAACCTAAACTGTGCTTGTGCCTTTTCAGGCTCCTGCTGCTCAGCTCGGCCGCAGCCTTCCAGGAGTCTCCGTTGCTGGAATTGGGCCCTTTGCCTGGTGGTGCCTCAGGGTTTGCCACCATGACCGGCCAGCCCGCCTCCTCGGAGCAGGTCAGGCGGAGACTGCGGAAATACTCATCGGTCTCTTTGTCCACCACCAGCAACCGGGTCTCGGTTTCAATTGCTTTGATGCGCTGCACAACCTGGGGAAGGACAGGTGGGCGAGGGGAGAAGAAGAAAGCATCAGCCAGACCCTCAAAAAGAATGGAAGGTCGCTAAATAGGAAAAAAAATCTCCTGAACAGCGTTTGTAAAGAGAGCAGAAGTACAATTACTTTCAGCTGACATTAAAAAGGCAGGGGAGCAACTGCCCTGGTTTGTTCATTTATGGGGAGAGAGGGAGCTTCCTGGGGGAGGCCAGTTTGGCCCCGAGACATTAAAGCTGGTTAAATCAATTGCAGTTGTTGGATTCACGCATTGTTCTAAATCTGAAGTTCTTAATTATCCCTTGGCTAGGGCCAGGAAGATCTTCCAACTGCCAAAATGTTTTCCAGGGTGCAAAGAGAGGATTCCATCAAGCAGATGGGTCTTTTCCTGGGGTTCAGGGCTTAAGACACCATCCCACAAAAGGGCTTTCTTTGTTTTCCTTGAAGACGTTTCACTACTTATCCAAGAAGCTTCTTCGGCTCAGTTCCCAGAAAAACTATCTAGCCCTATAGGTACGGGGCAGCCCCATCCATTCTGCCCTATGGCCTTACCCCCTGCAGGGACAGCTCACCCTGTCCACAGCCTGGCTTGGCATCATAAATCTACTTCACACAACTCAGCATCTGGGGAGGGTGAAGACCAATTGTCTGGCACCGCATGAATCAGCCTCTGAACATCTCCATTTCTGCCTTGAAGACGAAGTCCTGGACCTAGCCCTGCCAGGAGAAACTGGGACCCTCAAGTGGGCTGCTCTGCCTGAACAAGCCAGAGGCCCCTGAATGCAACCCTGCGACCTGCCAGTGCTGCCATCCAGAGCTCAGTATCCGAGAACCGTCGGCTGTCTTTCAGCTGCATTTGCAGATGCCTTTAACACACCTAGGACTGGTTCAAACCCTTGCAACACATTCCCACAACAACCTGCGAAGGAAGTCTGGAGAGCCTCCACCCCCCCCATTGCAAGCAAGCGCTACCTGACAGGAGAGGCCCCCCCCCCCGTCTCTCTGCCTCTTAGAGACTCTCTTAGACAGAGGTGAAATTGTTTGTGAAGCAGGTGTCAGCATTTCAAACAGCGAGTTGAGCATAAAACATTTTAGTAAACTTGAATAGCACAAAGTCACAGGCAGAATCTGGAGTGTGTTTCAGGACTCGTTGTGCCCAAAGCCAACAGAGCTTTTTTATAGCTATTGTACCTATAGATAGTGATAGCAGCTTTGGATCATCATTAATATTCCATAGGGCCAGATGGAAAAAATCATTTGGTTTGATTAAACAGAAAGAGCAACTGTCAGGAAGGTCTTTGCACAGCTTCATTTGGTGTACCAGTTGCACCCTTTTCTAGGTCAGGGTGCCAGGTCTTCCTTCAGTCACCCATGCTGTGTTGATCTCATGACTTGACTATTGCAATATGCTCCATGAGGGGCTGCCCTTGAAGACCACCCAGAAGCTTCAACTGGCCCAGAAGACAGTGATGGGCAAGCTCTGATATGCCCATGTAACGCTGCAGTTTTGCCAGCTGCACTAGTTGCCCCCCACAGCATCTGCCCAGCCGACTTGGTCCTGCATGGTTAGTTCGTTCCAGGCTCCTCCAATCAGGCCATGCTCTCTAGTGAGACCCTCCTCTGGAGCAGGCAGACCCGGACAGCCTCCTCCCTGCAGGCGTCTGGAAGCGGCCTGAAACCTGAAGACGTGGCTCTTCACTGGGGTCTTTGGAGAGGATTTTAATCCAGAAAATGGTGGTTTCTTTTGTTTCCACCCAGTTTGTTACCCTGTCTTCTCTGTCCTCCTTTTTTTTTCCTGTCATTTTTCTTGCCTTCCAAGGGAGAAAAACATTTCAATGAAATGTCATGAAATTCTAAAGGTGGTTGTGTGAACGCCCTGCCCTTCACGGGCTCTGCAGCTTCCCCCTTCCTACAGCCCCACACCTTGCATAAGATTCGTCCCAGGGGGCTTTTTCAGTGGCCACAGTAAATCTCTCATTTGGAAAAAAGATCCCACTCAATTTCTCAACTTTGATGGAGAAATTCTAAAGTTGAACAAACTGGCTGGGAAGAACCTGAAAAAGCTTCTTGGTGACCATCCTCATTGCTTTACTGCAGAACATCCAGAAATGTAGGCTCTGCTTCAAGATGCCCACTAAGGAAGCACCCCAATTCCCCATAAGAGCCTCCATATTGTCACCAGCAGGTGCTGCACCGAGTCAGATCCACGAGGAATTGTGGATCAGGATCTGCACATTTTGAAATGAGGATCTGAAGAAATGATTGAGGGGCAGATCCTCCAGCCAGAGTCGATCGCACTTCACTTCCTAACAGGCAGGCCTGGAACTGTCCTGAGGGCCAGCAAAGAACCTCATGGCTCAGATTCCAAGATGTCAAGTGTAAATACAGACACAAACACACATGCCCAGACAGAAACACGCAAAACATTTAAGCTGAAAGCTGAATGACTAGTGCTATGAGGAAATATTCATTGAGCAGAATCAAAAGGAGGAGAGCATGATACTTTGATTCCATGATTCAAGGAGCGATGCTGGCCAAAGAAGTCACTTCTTCCGTTGTTCCCAACAGGGAGCCAGAGCAGAGGTTGGTGGGAATTCTGGAATGTGTAGTCCTAATGCATCTGCTGGCCAATATGACACAAGCTGGGCACAAGAACATCCAGCCACCATAAAATCAGCCTTTAGCTCAATTGGCAGGCTGTGCCATACCAAGGTTTACTCAGCTTCAACTGCCTGGGTTCACATGGCACATTAAACAGGAAATCAGGGTTTGCAAATTGTAGTTGCCAGACTTTACAATGCAATTATACAAAACAAGACACCTTTTACCTTTCTAAGATACAGATATCACTAAAACAACTCAGAGATTAACACAACTCATTCAGGAAAAATGAAACAAACTATCTGTCTAAAATGGTATAGGTTCTCCTGCTTGAGCAGGGGGCTGGACTTGAAGACCTCCAAGGTCCTGTCCTGTCCTGTCCTGTCCTGTCCTGTCCTGTCCTGTCCTGTCCTGTCCTATCCTATATAGTGACTTAGAGAGTCGTATGAACTGGACTGGGATTCAGAAAAACACTGCCAGATTCACCTAATGGCCACAAATAAATTGGGGGATTTTCTAGTTTAATTCCACAGTCACTCATGAAACCCCCTTCCTCTCAGTTATACCATGTTTCTCAGCCTTTACAATTTTGAGCTGTGTGGACTGCAACTCTCAGAATTCCCAAGCCAACATACTTGTTGAAATCCACAAATCTTAAAGTTGCTGAGACTGAAGAACGCTGGGCTACACCATAAAGGGGAGTTAGAAGGCCACTTTGCAGGCCCCTCAAACTCTTTGGAGAAAAGTCAACGAATGGGCTCCATTCAAGGTTGCCCAAGAATGTTCTCAAACTTGCAAAAGCAGCGATAGCAGCCAATAGCAACGATGCCTCAAGGATGATACACACCCAGCAGTATTATCATACAAATGCTGCCATTTAGTCTTTGAATCCCTTCCTCTGATGCAAGAAAGTAAGTCCCAACAGCGTTTTCATAATGACATCATTACACAGAATGTAGAATATAGAATCATAATGCTGGAAAGGACCTTGGAGGTCTTCTAGTCCAGGGCTTTTCAACCAGGGGTACGGGTACCACCTGTGGTACATTGGCACCTGGCAGGTGGTACGCGACCATCCTACAAAAGTGGTAGCGGGGGAGGGGAATGAGCTGAACTGGTGGCAGCACTGCACAAGCCTGAGTGAGAGATGGCTGGAGCTGCAGGGCTGTCAGGGCTCAGTGGAAGCGCCAGGATCAGCGCTTCTTCGGGGCTGTCAGGGCTCAATGGAAGCAGCAGGATCAGCGCCGAGCTCCAGCTGAGCCCAGAAGAAGCGCCGATCAGCTGGAATGTTGCAGCCTCTCCAGGGTCGTGTAATTTACATTCAGATGCTTGGCAACTGATTCATATTTATGACGTGTCCCAGGGTCATGTGAAGTGACCAAAACCTGCTGCAACCACCCAGCAGACGGGGGGAATAAAAACCAAACACCCCCCCACCCCACCCCCGCTGCCAATCCCCAACAGAAATGCTCACAATGAAAACCTCAGACAGGAGGAAGAGCGCTGCCAGGTGGGCAGGCAGGTGTCTTGCTCAGCTGTGGCTTGGGGGGCACTTTTTTCAGTGCCATTGTAACTTTGAACAGTCACTAAGCGAACTGTTGTAAGTCGAGGACTACCTGTACTTTATCACTTTTTTCCTTTTTGGGGGGGTCATCAAGTTTTTGACACCTTGCTAGGCGACTGGTGGTACTCGGATGTTGCCATATCCTAAAAGTGGTACAATGGGTGAAAAGGTTGAAAAGCCCTGATCTAGTCCTACCTTCTGCTCAAGGCAAGAGCCCTCATACCATCCCAGTCCAATGATTTATCTGGTCTCTGAATCCTCTCTGAAACACAGTTAATCTCCCCTTGCTGGAAAGAGTTGGGTTATGGACTTAGGGAAAGCAGGGCAAGCTACGTAGCTCTCTGCAGCCTCTGGGCAGAAAAGCAGAATATATAGCAAAGACACAAATCATCCTCATCAATCCACACAGACAAGGCCAACAGCCCCCCCCCCCCGGCCTTATTCCCCTGCTGTCTTTTTCCTCCTTCCTTCCTTCCTTCCTTCCTTCCACCTGCCCATGTCTTACTTTTGGCCAGCTCCCAGCCCAGGCTCCTGGTCATGAGAACTTCATTAACATCACCCCTTTCATTATCAAAGCACCTTCTCGGTTGCCTTGGCTCACTGCAACACACAGCTTGGTTCCCCTCGACTTTTGCCCCAAGGAGGAGGGAAAGGGGCCAGGCCCACCAGCCAGACGCTCCCTCTCCGCCCAGCCTGCCTCACAGGGCTGGTGCTGGCAGGGAAAAAAGGTTGGGGTTATGCTAGAAATGTCACCCAGGATAGCAGGAAGAAAGGCAGGACTTGACTAAATGATGATAAAGGTTTCAGTTGCTCCCCAGTGAGGATTTCTCCCACAGCTCTGCTTCTCATTCAGGACACTGTATGTATGGGTGGCTGCCTGCGTGTGGCCCTCCGATCTTATAATTTCTCTCCTGACTAAAACATCTCAATTACCACCAAAGAGCTGCTATAGGATGCCTTAGTTTGGGATATTATTATATTATTATGGAATAGCTTATTTATTCTCTGCTTTTGAGACCAAGTAGCAAGAACCTTCGCCCCAGAGTCTCCCTTCTTTTCTCTCTGCATACACAACAGTGCCAGTCTTTTGTTGGTGCAGCAGGCGAATGCCTCTGCTCGCCAAGCCCCAAAGGAGACCCCTGCCTGCCCTTCTGAACCAGCTTTGGGCTGAGCTGTGAGCCCCCCCCCCAAAAAAAAACCTGTCACAAGGGAAGACACAGAAGCTTGGCAGATCTAACATGCCCATCAAGCGAAGGAGAGTTTGCCCTCTCTAGACACCAAAATGAGAGATGTCCAGGAGTCCAGTGCAAGCTGGCAAGAGGGGAAGGGTGGCAAGGAAGCCTTCATGGGGGTCTCTCTTATATCAACCCTCTCAGTGTAAGTCAGTTTAGGTTACGGAGAGTAACTGGCCAAACTCTCCAGTGAGCTCCAAGCTGAGTATGGTCTCCGGGGTCAGCGCTTTACCTGGGACCTTTCTCTTTATTCTGGGCCCAACCCCCAGAACCTCCCAGCCAGAATCCTCTCCATTTTCTCAGGCCTGTCATGCAAGCACAGCGGGGGAAGGGAGGACTCCGTTCCCACAGTAAACTTCCAGGGCTTTCCTCCTGCAAGTCCTCCCAAGCAGCCTGAAGGGAAAGGCGTCCCTCCTCTCCGGGCTTAGCGAAAGCAAGCAGTGAAAAGCTGTTCCTCCCCCCCCCCCAAAGCTGCTGCAGGGTCTCTAGCAACCCAAATCCCCTCTGCCCCCCCCCTCGGCACCAAAGGGAGAGGAAGAAAAGGGGGAACCGTGCAGCAGGCTGACATGTTTCTTCCTCCCCTGCGCATGGGTAGCTTGCATGTAAACTCCCCTTAAACCACAGCTGTACATGCACACGCCAAGTTGCCTGATCTCCATCACTACAATAGCCACTGGCACTCTGGCACCTCTGGGGATGTTGGGACCGATGTTCCAGAATTCCCAGCCAGTCTGGCTCCCGATGAGAATCCTGGGAGGGTGCCAGTTAGGGGGGGGCACTCCAAAACCATCTGCCTCCTGAGGCTTAACCCGGCATGCACCTCCAGGCCCCTCCCAGAAGTGGACCCTCTGCCCCGATTTAAAGGTGGAAACCGCCCAGACGTGCAAAAGGGGGGTTGCCTTTATGGAAAGGGGGGCTCCATGCGGCTCCTGTACTGAGAGTTCAGGCTCCTGAGCCCCCCCCCTCCCTCCCCCCCTCCCCCACGAAGCGGGTCCCTCGGCTTGGCTGCTTTGAGAACCCAGGGAGGAGCCCGGAAAGGCCCTTATCTGGCGGGCCAGCCGGGCAGGGCAGCCTGGCACCTCCTCCCTCCAAGTCCTCCCGAGCTCCGTGCCGTCGGGGGCCAAACGCCCCGAAGAGCGACTGAGTTCAGGGCCTCCTGCGGGCCTGGGGGCGCCTGGCGGGGGCCCGGGCGATTCAGGGCTGAGGGCGCTCAGTGCAGCCCCTCTCGCCGCCGCCGCCGCCGCGCTTTGAAAGGCTCTGCCTGCCCCCTCCGGCCGCCCCGGCTCTTCCAGGTAGACTGCCCGCCCGCCCGGACCCACCTGGTGGTGCGTCTCCTTCTCCACGTTGACGCCGTTGACTTCGAGCAGGCGGTCCCCGGCGCGCAGCCCCGCCGCTTCGGCCGGCGAGCCGGGCTCGACCTTGCGGATGAACTGGCCGCTCTTGCCCTTCTCGCCGTGCAGGTGGAAGCCGTAGCCCTGCTCGCCGCGCAGCATCTGGCAGAGGCGCGGCTGGCGGCGGGGCGCGCTCCGCTCCTGCTCCATGGCCGGCCGCCGCTCCGGGCTCCGCGGCGCTTCCGACGGCCCGGCCGGGCGAGCAGCAGCCAGGCGGCAGCCAGGCAGCCAGCGGGGCGGCGCTCGGCGCGGGGGCGTCTCCGGCCCGGCCAACCCCGCCCCCGCCCCCGCCCCGCGCTCCGCAACGGCGCCCCCAGCGCCCGCAGACGGCGAGCGGCGAGGGCGGCCCCGGACCTCCCCGGCTCCGGCGGGGCTGCGCGACCCTCTCCCCGCCCCCTGAGCCAGCCCCTCCCGCCGCGGGGGAGGGCGCCTCTGGCCGTGTGCAGAGCGCGGAGCGGCGAGCGAGGGCGGACAGGAGCGAAGATCCGCTCGCCCCCCCCCCCACGAGGGACGGGCTGGGAGGGCAGGCAGGCAGGCAGGCAAGGGAGCTGCCGCAGTCGGACCCCGAGTCTCCTCATCCGCTGCTAGCGCGGCCGTGCGGCACGGGAGTGGAGCCCGACCCCTCATTCTGCTCACGAGCGAGCCCGGCTCTTTCGGGGAAGTCTGGCTTGGAAGAGGACGGTCCTGGGCCTCGGTCCTGTCGGGGACCGGAAGGTCCCGGGACACTTTCTCGGGATGGCTGCGTCTCCCAGGCCTCCTCTGCAGGGTGGCTTGTTTCTTGCGCAGACCCAGCAATGTCGGTTTGCTCAATAAACTGTTTAAGCAAAGCAGGACTTAAAATAGTTCGGGGGAAGAAGAGGCCTTTTCACCGGGCCTGTCCCTCGGAAGCCTCGGCAGAGCCCCAACTGGCTTGGCCTCACCCCGGGGGGCATCGGAGCGGCCCTTCCGAGGCAGCTCGGTCAGTTCAAGCAGCTGCTGCGGTTTCAAAATCCCCCCCCACCCCCGTTGCCCCCCCCTCCTCTGCCCGACAGGGTTACCTGCAGGAAATGTGTGTTTGTTCATTAATAGAACAGAACGGCCTCAAAATTAGTGCTTGGGCGAGACGCCCCGCCGTTTGCCGGGAGCTGCTTTGATGCCAGCGGAAAGGCGATTGCAGGCTCCTTGTGGAGCGGCCGGATCCCTACGGCTCGCCTGCCACTTCCAGAGCCCACCCTGGTCTCCGATTCATGCAGCCAACTTGACGTTGCGGGGGGGGGCTTAGGACGACTGGGAACAGCCAGTCAGACCCAGACTGGGAGCTGCTCCACCTCCAAACAACAACCTAGGAGCTGAAAGAGGAGAGGTCAGAGGCTGGAGGGTTAGCTGCTAGGGCAGGCTGTGGTTTTCATGCCCTGAAAGCAATCGGATATTTAAAATAATGCTGTGCCCAAAATCTTCATTGCGATGCCACTGACTTTAGTTTCAGTTCCTCTTAGTGGGCTGTTCGACCTACTTTCATTTGTTGGGAATGGTGGAGAGAGAATGGTGCAGTGAAAGGCCAAACCGGACTGTCCACTTGCAGATGGCTGGGCTACCAAATCACTTAATACATTCCAAAACATCACCCTCCAATCCTCAGATTTTCAATTACATTTTCTTCTTGGTCAAAATAAATTTGGGAAGCAAATTCTCTTTCATCAGGCTGATTAAAAATTGGCAGAAAAATAGGAGCATTTTTTTTTGCATGATACTAACAGAATGCAGATTTATGATGACACTTTTTATATGCCCAAAGGAATTCCCCTGCCAGGACTGGATGGCTTGCTCCATATTTATTTCATTATTATTTAATTATGCCTTTCCCCTCCCTATTTTCCGAGAACTCAAAGGAGAGACCCCCCCCTTTCCTGGGAGCACCCCTTAATTGTATCCCTGCCAAATGGAGTTGCCAAGTGAGCTCAAGGTGGGAGTTGAAGCTGGGTCTCTGCTCTCCCAGTCGGGCACATTCATCAGTCGTCAGTTTATACTTTGCATCCCTTTAAGATTGGTTGAACCAGCAGTTATGAGAGTGCCTCTGTGCACATGCAGAGAGCATGCCTTTGACTTAGGGACTTTCAGGAACTTCCAGGGTGTCTGACTTTAGAATCCTCTGGGATCTGCCCTGGGTTTCTCTATATCCATGCTATACGGGGTGTAACTGCTTCGGTGCCTGTGTGCGTACATGAGGGTTGTGAGAGCCTTTCTCCCAATGCCCCAGGCAGGAGAGAGCCCAGGATGTGTGCCAGTGGCATCTCGTGCCTGGGCCTCGCTTCTGAGCTTGTCCGGTGGTAGCGTGGGTTGACTGCCGCTTTTCTCACAAAATCAGGCGGGCTTCCCTTCCTTCCCTGGGAAGCAAGAGTCTGGCTGGGTTGTCAGCCATACCATGAAAAGAGCCGCCAATCCAGGGGGCTTCCCCACCCAGGGCAGGCAGCCGGTGGCAAGACGGAAAGTTCCAACCCAGCTTCTTAGAAGGAAGTTGGGTTAATCTTTTCCCACAACTGCTGGAAATTCTGTGGCAACCAGTTTCAGCCAGACTCCAATACCTGGTCTGTGTTCCTGCTGGCAGCAGAACATAAATGGATATTTACTTTGCTGCTGCTGCTGCTGCTCCTCCCCATAGTGACATCATTATCCAAAAATACATGGCTGGAATTGTGTAAGTGGGCAGCGTTCCTTCACCTTGGGCACTGCCAGCCCCTCATGAGCAGAGAGACAGACCCAGATAGGCACTCAGCCTCCTCAGATCTTGATCATGGCTTGGGCTTCCAATGTACCAAGCTGACAGTGCCAAAGAGACACTCTGGATGACTGGCAAAAAGGGAGGTCTCTCCAAGAGACTAGTGCTGCAGTTGGGCTGATGCAGCTCCTCTCTGGCTGCATCAGCTGGAAAACATCATTAAAATTAGTTCAACTGGCCCTCAGAGTTGCTCCTTCCAAATTCTACTCAGGAAGGAGGGAGAGAGGGAAAGAGGTAGGTAAGTAGGTAGGTAGTGTAAGGTCCTGCCTCAGCTATCTCCCCAGGAAAGTGTGACTCTTGAAACAGCATTATTTCAAAAGGATCTTTTACTGAGATAAAGTGATTGCAGAGAAGTCAGGCAAAATCAGAAATTCCCCCGTGAAAACGTTAGGTTAATTTCCCATTGTCCAACTGCACCCCATGGTCCCAGTCCATCGGGAGCCATCCACTGGTGTGAAGATGTTATGAGAACTTTGAACCACAAAGGTGATAACAAGTTATTCTCTGGCGCCACGACCTTGGTAACAGGCAGGAGATGGCCAGAAAGGAGTCAAGCCAGATGGCTCTGAGGGCTCATTCCCCCCTCCCCAATTCCCATGCAGATACATCAAAGCAAAAGCAGAAACAAGATAGAAGCATCTTCAATCCCCAAGCAGCACTTCCCCCTCCCCTCAGAATGGCAGTATTCCAGTAGGGATCTGGTAGGTAAATAGGCAGGTAGGTAGGTAGGTAGGTAGGTAGATGATAGTGTCAGGTCCCTGTCGGAATGCTGGCATTCCGAGGGGAGGGGAATGTAACCTGGGGAGTAAAGAATTTGATGCTTTTGCTTTGATGCATCTGTATGAGAATTAGGGAGGGGGAAATGGGTCATCAGAGTCATCCGGATGGACTCCTTTCCAGCCAGTTCCAGCCTGTTACCAAGGTCGCAGTGCCAGGAAGATGACTTGTTATCACATTCTCGTCTCAGAGTTCTAATAACACCTTCAGGCCAGCAGATTGGCTACTGATGGACTGGGGCATTGGGGTGGGATATGAATAATGGGAAATTAGTTTAACAATTTGCACCAGAACCTCTGATTCCACCTGGCTTCTCTGAAATCACTTTCTCTCAGTAAAAGTTCCTTTTGAAATAATGCTTGTTTCAAGAGTCATGCTTTCCTGAGAAGATAGCGGAGGCAGGACCTTACATTAGGCAAAATCTGCAAAGTAGTCAACCCAGAAAGGCAACAGCCTTACCGTGTGGATCATGCAAACAATGTCTACCCAAGGCAGTGATCAGGAGGAAGTTAAATGCTGGCTCACTCAGATGTGAACTCCGCCGGATGGACAGAGGAAGCTGCAAGCTTAGGGGACTCCTCTAAACCTAGGTGATCCATAAGTGTCGGGAAGAAGGACAACTGGGAAGGGAGAACAAAAGGAGTCCCCCTCATCTGAGGCAGCCATCGGCAAGGATGGAGAGAGATGCTGGACAATGAGGAGAAGCAAGGGGGTGAGCCTGACCACGCCGACCTTCTCGTAATGGACGCGTTCCAGAATCTGAAAGCACAAGAGGCTTTAACCCAAATGTCAGGGGATGACAGCCATTGCAATCGACCAGAGAGCAGAGGTGGGAAAGCCTCACCCCTAGATGCCGCCGTGGCGGTGGCTAAAACCTCAGCAGGAGCAGCAGCAGTGATGGGAATCCCACAGGAGGACCCAGGGGGAGTGAATGCCTTGAGACCTGGTGATGGCATAGCTAGTCGAAGATGCAAGGCACCCCCCATGTGAAATTTGATAGAGACCCCCAATAACTGGGGATCTTCCTACCCCACATCCTCACCTACATGCAGGAGTATGGCCATGAAATCCCCATCAAAGGGGCCAGAGTCAGAGTTGTCACACTGGCACTGGAAGGGACTGCGGCCAGATGGAAAGTGACCCTCTACAACGTGAATGGTCCAGAGCTGAGGAACTTGAACCGATTCATGACAGACCTGAGGCGGCAAATTTAAAAACCCTCTTGCCAACTGTAAAGCCCGAGTGTCAAGCTTCAAAGAAACTTATTCTGCTTCGGCCATTGTTGTTTCTTAGCTTGCCAACAGACCCGGGGGAGGGGGGGAGGGAGGATGATTGGAATGCTCATTGCAGGCATGAGTGGTCCATTGTGAGAATCAAGGTCATCGGAGAACTGTTGGCTGGGAATTGAAGATTTTTCTCATAACAATTGTCTGATACTTCATTGGGGAATGTGATTTGCACTGTCAAAGGGAAGGGGAATTTCTATGCTTTTAATTTACTGTTCTGGCACCAATTTAACCAGAGCTGGTTTTCTATTCATCAGTGCCAATATGCTGTACTCAATAAAGTTTTGTATTAGAGATTTGAATGTCTCAGCTGTGCTTACTTTGTTGGGATCATCAGTCAGAACCTTGACACTAAGACCAC